CTCAGAGGTGTCAGGATACCTTGGGAGAAGTCATGTCCAACCCCTTAGCTGCCCCCAGTGCATACTTTTGGAGAGCCCTGGGGGGCACACAGGCAGCTCTTCCATACTGAGTCACAAAACACTCAGGGTCCCTATCACTCCGGCCCCGGGCTGTTCTCTGTGTCCTTTCTCACAGCCCTTCAGGGGACTGTGTCTCATTGGTTGTGGCCAGAGGCCTATGCCCCACACTTACCCTTACCAGGGAAGTGGCACCCCGCCGATGCTCTGGGTTCCTGATCCCCAGGCTGGCTCACTGCCGGGGAGCACAGGCACCCTTTGTAGCCCTTCTCCAGCTGCCCAGTGAATGGGGGATGCCATGTAGCCCAAGGCTGTGCCCCAGAACCCTGCTTTGTCCCCTGCAATACACAGGCTGCTTTAATAGGCCAGGGAGTGCCCTCCTGGCAGGGACAGCTGCTGTGACTCTGCTCTTTAATCAACCTGTCTCCAGTGGTGAGGGGGACCAGTGTGTGTCCTGACCCTGCACATTTTCTAACAAGGAGGTCAAGAAAAGCATTCTCTGTAGCCCCTCACTGCAGACACACTTCCCTGTGTGCTCTGGGACAGCTGCCCCAGAGCTCCCCAGCCCCACGCGCCTCACTCAGCCAGGCCAGGAGGGACTGGGGACGCTGTGGTGGCCCTAAGGCCTGGGGTCCCTGGGGTCAGCAGGGTGGGGAAGAAGGTCCAGGCAGAGGGCACATAGAGGCACAGAGCTGCAAGGCAGAAAGTGAACCAGTGGGCAGGGTGGCCCTCCTGCTGGGAGCCCCAGGTGCTACATGCTTTCAGGTCTTCTCGCAGGTATGGCTGAGCCAGGACAACAGGACTAGCAAGAATAGGGCGTGGCAGCAGCGCCCCAAAGCAGGGTCAGGAGGGCGTCCAGGCCATCTGGTGAATGGAGTTCAGGGTCAGACAGGGCTGTCTAACCGGCGCACATCACACCTGTTTTTAGGAGTAAGGCCTGGGCCCTGAGGCCTGGGTTCAGCTGTTTGGTCTCATCGTGCTCTGGACTCCACTAACTGGGCGATGCCCAGGCACAATGCCCATCCCCAGCCTGAGCCTGGCCTGCCCCAGAGAGGGCCGTGTAGGTGCCCCACAGAGTGCTCTGGACCCTGCTCCCCTCACCCTTGGTGGAGCTGGGGAGGAAGGTTGAACTCACCTTGCAGCAGACTAGGAACCACCCTGTGAGATCACTGGGGGAGCCAAGGTACAGCATCTGCCGGCAGGAGGGGAGTGACGGTTTGACCCCATCCCACCCATGTTGCCCTCCTCAGCCCCTGCATTGCATACTGAGGAGCAGGGGACTTGGGAGGGGGACATGGGACATTGGGGTAGTCCCTTAAGCCAGAAGAAGGACACAGCACAGCAGTGCTCAGGATAATGTGGCACTGCATTGCATACTGAGGAGCAGGGGACTTGGGAGGAGGACATGGGACATTGGGGTACAGTCCCTTAAGCCAGAAGAAGGACGCAGCACAGCAGTGCTCAGGATAATGTGGCGGGAGGGAGG